CGCCCGTTTTTTCGTCTCTTGATATTCCTAGATATTGTTCTAAGCTATGACAAGCTTTTAACTAAAAAAAACAAATTAAATTATTGTATTAATTATTTAACTAAAAATAAATATTAAAAAATACCTCTTTCAAGAATGGATCTTTATTCTTATTAGAATCTTTTACGATCTTGATTGCTACATCTTCATATGACCCATATTGCTTTAAATATTTTGTTCTAAAAACGGTAGAAAATGCTCCTTTACCTACTTCTTCGATATTTTCAAATTTATCATATGACATCCAATGAAAAAATTCTTTTTTTTACCAGTAGTTTTAGCTCGTTCAGTGATAGCAGATTTTAAATACCATTCGAAAGCAATATCTATATCATTTTCAACATAATACATTCCATCAGGATGTCCCATCTCTGCAGATTTTTTATAGTATTCGAATGACTTATGTTCATCTTTTTTAACACCAATTTCATCATCATAACACACTCCAACATTATATGCTCCAAAAATATATCCCATTTTTGCTGATTTTTTATAATATTCGATTCCTTTTTTTTCATTCTTTTCAACTCCAATTCCATTACAATAACAATATCCAACCGAATTTATTCCAACAGCATCACCCATGTTTGCAGCTCTTTGATAATATATAAATGCCTTTTGTTCATCCTCTATAACTCCAATTCCATTTCGATAACAATCTCCAACAACGCATATTCCACAAACATCACCCATATTAGCAGATATTTGATAATATTCGAATGCTTTTTGTCCATCTACTTTGACTCCAATTCCACTTTCATAACATCTTCCAGTCTTAAATATTCCTGTAGTATCACTCATGAAAGCAGCTTTTTGATAGTATTTGAATGCTTTTTGTTCATCCTTTTCAACTTCGATTCCAAATCGGTAACATTCACCTAAAGCACATAAGTGACCCAAATCAGCCGCCTTTCTAAAATATTCAAAGGCTTTTTTTCTATCTATTCCAATATATTGACCCTTTATATATTTTTGTCCAAGTTGATAAAGTTCTTCAGCATTTTGATTCATTGTTATTTTTTTAATTAAAAAAAGTATAAAATTTTTATTATAGTTGCTTAAATCAAGTTGGTTAGTTGGTTATAACAATTAACATTCTTTAATTGAGGGCAATTATCAATCTTCAAGTCGGTTAGTTGAATAAAACTTTATTGATTGTTTTTGTTGTACCAATTTAGTGTACTCAAACGTTGCATTATAATTATGTTGAAATAATTATTAATTCAAATAAATAAAATTTTAACCTTTATGTAAGAAGCTAAAATACGCTTAATTTTCAATAGTAAAATTTTCTTGAATATTTAATTCAATCTATTCAAACTGTTAAAATTGTTCAATCCATTCGAACTGTTCAAAAAATATGTAAAATAACTATGAACCCGTACACAATATATGCTGATACTGCGGTTGATCTTGTGTTCTTGTGTAATTTATTACGTATACGGATTGGGTTTACTAATTTTCCCCACCACTTCACTATCGGCTCAGATACTCCGATATGTGAATAATTAGTAGAACTAATCAGAAGTAACTGGAGTAAAATCGCCACCAAAAAATTTTTTATCAATTACGTGATACAAAATTGTGCAACTAAAAAGGACCGAGAAAACTCTACGTATTATATTTCCTCGCCAGAATAACATTCGAATAGTATTATGAATTTGGAAAATGTGATCGATTTATATATTCGAATTATTATAAAGTCTCTCGACTTTATATAATTTGCAGAAAAAAATGTTACCAACCGGGAGCAGATTCGCATATATTAATATATAGAATATAAGAGGTTACCGCTACTTGGATTCGAATTGTTATGAAAACAAGCACAGGTCCAAAATATTCCGGATAGAAAATCAATAAACGTAAAATTCGAGCAAGATCGGAACAAAAATTGAAATAAAGCTCCGAAAAAATCTGAAAGGTTTCAGAAACTCACATATGACATATCAAGGTTACGACTAAAATGATTTGTATTACTATTAATTTCTTGGGCGAAATTAGAATCTGTGTATTGAAGATCCTATTCAAAATATTTTAGCATATCTAAATATTTATGATATTAGCTTGGAACTATTCATATACAGTATGCTAGGCCTTTAGTATTCAAAATTATTACTATTGACTTATTTGGGGTTTATAATAGAATGATTATAATATTTAATAAAGATAGGATTTTATAAATAATTTACTATGTTTTTTGTATAAGAATGAAATCTTTTTTTCCTCTACACTTATAAAAACTTCATATAGTTACAAAAAATAAATTATAAATATCCTCTCATCTACTTAACCAATTATAATGCTTTTTTTATATTATATATAAAAGAGTTTTCTCTGTATTTTTTATTAGAAAATAAAGTATATTAGCATAATAAAAAAAAGTTTTCTATGGAGAAAAAGAAGATTTCATAATATAATAAATTTAATAGTAATTTGTGCTTATGAAATTATCCTTCTTATACAGTATGAATCAGCAATTAATTATAACTGCTGTAAAATGATTTTAAACATTCCAAATGCTAAACGATTTAATCAAGTTGTTTAAATAAATGTAAATAATTTAAGTAATTAAGCTATAAATAAGATAATATATTTTTTATTAAAAACTTTAATCTAAATTTTTTTAAAAAAAATGAAAAATATTTTAAAAAAAACTTAAAAATCATATATAAATATGGTTTAATTTTAGTATATTTTCAAAAATATTCATATTAACCAATATTTATTTTTATTGGTCATTAATAACTTTAATAACTTTACTTGCATAGACACGAACTGCTAGATAATAAGAATTATACTCCACTATTTCTTTTTCAGAAGTTTTGATCAATTTATCGTATTCTTCATCAGAAATTTGCATTTTTTTTGTCAAAATAGGTTTAAGAGAAGCATACGCAGAAATCGTATTATTGAGAATCTGTTAATTTAATATAATATTAAATACTTTAAATTTTTTTTAAAACGATTCATTTTGTACAATACGTTACCGCTTTACCAAGTTCGACATTGTCATTAACAAAATAGCATTGTATAACTTCTTTTTTAATATTTTCTAATTGACCTAATATGGAAATATAAAAATTATTATGATAATTTTATTTACAAAATGACACATCAAAAATAAAATATAATATATAAGAGACAAAACCTTGATTTTGACAATATTCTTCTAACTTTTGATATAAATCAAAATCACTGCCTTGCTCTTCTAATATTTCGTATTCTTCATGATAATTGAATAAAAAAATTATGTAAGTAAATGAATAAAATTATTATAATAGTAAGATACATACCACAATCCCATATATTTTTAGTAGTTGGTCCTGCATCAAATATAGAAGAAGGTTCACACAACTTTTTTATAAAAAAAAAAAAGATTCAATTACTTAGAATATTAACAAACATCATCAAATTTCAAATAAGCATACCTCTAAAAATCCACCTGGTTTTAAAACTCTAACCAACTCATTAAATACTTGTGGACACTTCTCTTTGTTAAGACCAACTGTTAAATATCGTTGAAATACAAAATCAAAAGTATTATCATCAAATGGTAATCTTTCATGAACATTTGCTCTAATGAATTCAAAATTTTTAGGTTTTATCATAGTTGGTTGGTGTGGAGATATATCTAATCCAACGACCTTAGCCAATGGATATCTAAGAAAACATTATAAAGATTAATGATTCTAATAAGATTAGTAATGGCTATGCCTCAGATATGGTGTACGTACGTGGTTGCAATATCGAAAGACCATGAACCTGCACCACACCTAAATAGAATTTATATAGAATTTTGGTGCAATGTTAATAGTTTTTATCGAAATTTTTTATTAAATATAATAATAATAATAATAATAACTTGAGTTATTTTTCAAAGGGATCTATTTAATCAGTTGATAAAGTTTTAAGTTACGATAGAATAATAAAATTTTAAACTGTATTTCTTTTTTAAGAAAAATTATAATTCAAGAATTAGGTAAATATATCTATGCTTTGTGGACGTTTGTTTGTTTTTTTTTTATATGGATCATAATAGATTTATAAAAAATTAAAATTAAAAATTTCTGTAATATTCTTATATCGAGAATAATCAATTATCATAAACATAATTACTTTACTTACCCAATATCGAGGACTTTGGCACCTGGTTTAGACAAAATATGATTGACAGGAGCAGAAAAGTTACTTTGAAAGAGATATCTTAATAAGAAATGTTGTAAATGTAACCTATCTGTCTCATCTTCATCATTTGGTAAATGATACATAGCATTTTCCATGTTATGAAATCTTCTACCATCAATGTATCGAAATTCAGGTTGCATATTTTGTGTACTTTGAGAATCCATAGACTTGATTTTTTTACTAAATTTAGAGGAAATAATTCCCATGGTGATATCAACATTTATATTACGTCAAAATTATTAAAGAGTGAAGAGTATTGAAATTATTTTAAAGAATATAAGAAGGTAGAAATACCTAAATAATAATAATAATAATTTTTAAAAAAAAGTAGCGAGCAAATATAAATCTAAATAAATATTTAATGTATATTATTGGTCTGTCGAGAGCTAGATAATTATGTCAGTATTATGTAATCAGTTTTCTTTTGATAACGACAGACTCGCAAAAGAAGGAGCCCTCGGCACAATGTTTATAACTACATAATCTACATAATGGCTATTGTCTGAATAAAATGGAAGTGCTAACTTTTTTTGGATATAATGACCAATAAAATTTATTTACGAAAATTTCCGATCATTTAAAAGAATAAATTTGTGTACTGATTTGTGGAAAGACCAATTGAAATAATAAAATTTTAAAAGGTAAATCCAATACGTACGTAAAATGTGGATGATATGGTCACAAACAAAGGCATTAATAATACAGTATTGTGTGTATTGAAAAGGGAGCTAGTGGATTTGACATGGCAAATTTCGTTCTAAGCTATAATCACAATATTGCATTGTAAGACAAACAAACTAACCTGTAGCATCAAACTACTGTCTTAATCGCAAACACACATGCAATCATTATTTAAGAAATGCAAAATAAACCCTTGGGTGAAATTTTTTTTATATGATCTAGCAACATGTCCTTCGATAAGATTTACTATATACATGTACTGTACGTATCCTCATTCATTTTGTTTATTTAAACGTTTTCTCCGACAGTAATACAAAGATGACTAAGCTAAAATATAAGAGAAGGTACTATATAAGGGCTAGTGTAATGATACAAGTAGAAGGCAAGCTATTTAATGATATACCATAATATAAAATAATGAGCTTACATTTTCGTAGTGTCAAATTTACTGTGTCGGTTTCACTATTCTTAAATATTGCTAGCTAGAATGCATGCAAACGAGTGATACAATTAGAGACTGTGAATTTTATTATTTGTGAAAAAGTAATGGAATATTTTTTTAAATCTGCCTTTAAAAATGGCGGGAATGAATTTTTATAATGACGTTAACTTTCTTTTTTTGGTTTGTATCACTATAATAACATTAACTTTCTTTTTTTGTTTTGTATCACTTGCACAAATTTATTTTTATGCACTTTATATAATAAATATTTATTTACATAGCATATTATCATTATAAAATGATGAACGAAATCCGAAAGTTACACATCGCTAGTTGCTCACGGAAATACTTCTCGTTATTTACACATACAAGCAGAGTTGGCAATGGAGCTCAAAAAACTAGAATCCATTGGCTCTATTCGCAGCTCCATTGAGCTCCATTGCCAACTGCATATAAGTGATACAACTTAAAAAAGGAAACTTAACGTAAAAGTAAATTTAATACGTATAACTAGGCATCCACTTATTGCGCCGGTAATACAAACCTCTAAAAAGGAAATGCCAATCAGAGAACACATATTTCGGGTATTCTGGATCAGCCCGACATAGAATCCGAACAAATGCGAAAAAAGAAAAAAGTAGACTAATAAAAAATAACGGGATGAAATTTTACATATAAGAAACTCTAATTTATTGCTAAAGCTCACAACCCTAACAGTCGATCAAGATGTCACGCAGATCAGGTAAATAAAATTTTTAATATGAAACTAGGGACTGGAATAGGCTGGCCAAACTCGGGAATTTGCTGCCGGGCCGGGCTTGGGCGTAGTTCGGGCTCAACATTTTTGAGACCATTGTAATCTTGTGCCAGGTTCGGGTTAGGCTCGCTAAAATACTGGGCCGGGTTTGTCTTTTCAAAAAGCCCAATGGGAATTATAATACAAGAATGACAATTTTTTTAGAAAGCATTATTGAGTATATGAATTTCTTAATTTTTCATGTGGACCGAATCAGCGACATGGTACATAGGATTATTAGTGATAACATTCTCTATAGCGATAGCCTTTAGTATAGCATTTAGTATAGTATGGGTACATCATAATGAATGGATAATAGAAAATTTAAAATGAACAAATTTTATAAATAACTAGGCACTTGAGTTGCCTAAAGGGAGTTAGAGATAAGTGTACTGTACCTGATATTGTAGTATGCAGTACAAGGACCTCATGTTATGATTAGGCTTCATGGTTGCGATAGCAATGCAAGGACCTCATGTTGTAATTAAATCCTATATCTGACGCAGGAAATGCAAGAACCTCATGTTTGGTGATTGAGCCTCCCCATAAAAAAATGTCAAAATTTTTTAAGATTTTGTTCGGATTTTTATTACGAAAAACGCTCATTTTTTAAAATAATAATCTGAACAAAATCTGAATAGGATTTTGACTTTTTTTTTATTATAGGTCCAAAGATATAATAGCAGTACAAGGATCTCACGTTGTAATTAGGCTCTGTGCTACAATGACCTCATGTTGTGATTAGGCTCTATAGCTGTCGCAGGCAGTGCAAGAGCCTCATGTTTGATGATTAAGCACCTTAGCTATGATAGCAGTGCAAGGATCTCATGTTGTGATTAGGCTCCATTGATGCGATAGCAATGCAAGAATCTCATGTTGTGATTAGGCTCTATGGCTTGGCTCATGTTTAGCGATTAAGCTTCGCAACTACAATAGTAGCACAAGGACCTTATATTGTAATTAGGCTCTGTTGCTGTCGTCACAGGCAGCGCAAGAGCCTTATTTTTGGTGATTAAGCACTGCAATTACGATAGCAGTGCAAGGACCTCACGTTTGATTAGGCTCCGTAGCTCAATAGATTAGATTAATCAAAATTCAATTAAATAGAAACCAACGATAACGTTCTCATCTTACTGAATATGGTTAAATGTTTAAAATTTTTTTGAAACAAAAAAAGCTTTTATATAATCTACTCTAAGCCATACCTTATTAAAAAAACAAAATAATAATTATAACGCTTTCCTGTTAAACACATATAATATAGTCCATAAATTTTTTATAATTATATTAATTGGCTTTATGTAGTTGTACATTATATTGATATTTTTGTAAAATTTATTTGAGCAAAAAAATATAGAGCAAAACCAGTTTAGTTTACTCATTTGACATAATGAGTGCTATTAAAATTATTGACCATAGCTAGGGTTTCTTAATATATTGGGTATGAACCAGTTAGATTAAATTCATTATTGTAAATACAATTTGTAATAGGGTCCCTGTGATTCTAACATCTATAATGTCAATAAACTCTAGTCTTCAGACACTTAATAACAACAAAAAAAAAAAAAAAATCCCCTATCAAGTAAATAAAAAAAAGCTATGCAGATTCATGAATGTGGTCAAACTTTTGAATATATGGATTAGATCAATGCATATGGCACTAATCTGAACAGTTTGCACAACTAACTAATTCTTTAGTTTAAAATTTTCATATCATAAATTTCTGTTTTGATGTGACATTTTATAGAAATTACTGAGAATTTTGTAATATATTGAAAAAAATAAAATAAAATCTATTAAAAATAAATAATGAAATAAGAATCTATTCTTTTTACACTTTTTGTTTGTTATTATAACCTCATTTATGCTTAAATAAAAATAATATAACAATATTTTAATCCGATATTATGTAAAATAAAATTTTATTGTAATTACAAAAATTTTTATGAGTCTTTAAAAACCTAAATTTGTTGATAAAAATTATAATGCTATGCTATGTAAGTGAACAACATTTAATATAGTTCTAGACCATTGTGTATAAATTACTGGTAAACTAACTAATCCTCTAGAAACAAGTATATAACCTGGAATTGATAATAAAACTGCAACAAACTACACACAAGTATATACTTTAGTTGGAATATCCACAATCAATTCTCTGAAATGTCCTAATCTATTTCTCAATTCTTCTACTGATATTTGATATTTATTTGCTATTTTACAAAATTTCTCATCATTAGAACGATTTCTAGCTAAACTTAGAATATCTTTCCCACTCACTCCCATTTCATCTGCATATGCCTCTAACATTGGACAATCACTAAATGCTGACACTAGTTTCCAAGTATTATCTATATTATTACCACCAGTACAACAAAATATACAACAAAATATTAATAAATTGCTAATGAATAACCAAATTATTTGATCACGTGGATAATTAGTACAATTAGCACTAGTCCACTCTTCAGTAATAAATACAACAAAAAAACGTACTATAAATGAAATAAATGTCACTTCAGGATAAAAAGGATTTGGTAAACATAATAAATTTACTATAAACCTTACAAATAATAATATTGATATACCCCAACTCTGTAGCAAATTATTTGAGCTCTTACATCGATCAATATCATCGTTAACTCCAACAATCATTCCAATGAGCCCAATAAAACTTAACAAAGGAACCACTATTGCTAAAATCATTGATAACTTTCCATTATTTTTATACTATCCATTTCATCCAGAATAGGTAGAGTATAAACCTAAGACAATACTAATACTCGTACTAATTACTACACTACCAGCAAAACTGGCTAATTTGTCATCAGACATTGCCTCAACGACTTTACTGGCACTCGTTTTTTTTTTTGCTCGACCGAATAAATGGCGTTAATTTCTAATAAGCTTATTTTAAAAGTGCTTTTTTTAATGTTAGTGTTAAATTTTAAAATTTGAAAATAGTTTATGTTTGTTTAATAATTTATCTTAATTATAATAAAGATATATTTTATAAATCGTTTTCTTAGTTCATTTTAATCAGAAACTATATAAATAGCGTTTGAATTTTTCCGATCCACTAAGTATAATGTAGTAATCGTTGGCGCAATGATTGTCATAGTGAAAATCATACAAAAATGACAATATAGATTGTATATCTAGCATATTTTTGACATGCAAGGATGTTCATAAAATTATCAAATTTTGCAAATCACAGTGCATATGTGCAATCACTTGATTGCGCAATTGTAAAGTGATTTCCTTAGTGAAAATCCAATGCAAATAAATATTTTTATGAGTTTCTTATATACATACCTTCACTTGCACAAAATCTGATCAAAGATACATACAAATCACACAAAATCAGATCACTACCAGTACGGATCGATCTACGATCTGAAAGTTTGTAATAGTGATTTAGGACAGCCGCAACTAAGCTGCTTAGCCGACTAAGCTAGCAGATGTAATGTAATTGGTGGTTAAATATCATGATTTATAAAATAAAAGGATTCCAATAAATTCGAAAATGAAATTGAACATAAAGATAGAGTTACGTAATTCTTTAGAAAACTTACCAAAAAATTCGAAAGTAGGTTATTGATCAGCTGTTAACTAGCCGAGTAAAACCTGTGGATTAAGTTATTACGTATATTGTAAATCTACTGGATCACCGATAAACTATTCTAACTACAGTTTTTCAATCATCTAGATACGTACTAGGCACATGAATATTTAGGTTTTACATGACCATTAAAAAAATTTTTATTTACTTTTTTATTTTTTTTTGTAATCAAAAAATGCATGTTAAACTTGTAGTATTTACGTTTAATAAAGTTTTATCAATTTCAATACAGAATAAATTGAAAAATAACGAACAATTATACTTGCGTTGAGCTATTCAAAGTAGACTAGTTGGTTAATGTCAATAATTGTCCTTAGAGGAAATATTTAAATTAAAAACGTATACCTCAGGATATTTTAATAAATCTTTTGACGGACTTTGATACAATTAAAATTATGCAGCGTTATAATTGGCTTGTTTAATGCTCAGAGGACGATTAGCTAAAATGGAGAATGGTATTAACCAACTATTCACTTTGAATGACTAACTTGTAACATATAGACGAAAATTTTTATAAAATGTTAGAGAAATGCCAAAATTCGCACTCTAAGACTCCCAAATGGAATGTTAAATTTACGTTGCAATGTACGAATCTTGATTCAAAAAAACTTACTGCTTATAGTATTTCTCACAAGCTTACATATTGGATTGGGACGATAAAAAGGTTGGGTGGTGATAGGGTTGATATAAAAAAATAGAAACTTATAAATGGTCAAAGGATTATCAATAATTTCACGAAACACTTAGATCCATAATAAACACGCAAAAATCATAACCAGATTACAAAGCTTAAACAAACTCAAAAAGTTAAACCAATTTGGGATGTAGCATAATGGCAAATCGAATTTTTTCGTAAACTGTTCGATATGTAAGCATCGAAACAGTTTGCCTCGAATTATTTGATCGACCAAGAATATTGTGTAGAATGTTCGATAAGCAGGAGAAAAATCCAGATGTGTTTTCATAGAAGATGCACAAAAATGAGAGACCATTTGCGATTCTATTTTAAATCTTACTCTTGAAATTTACGAATATATAAAATTCTATGATCACTTCACAAATATATTTGATCAACCATTAAAAATAAAAAAAAAATAGATAATTGGTATTAAAAAAGCAGAAATAATAAAGTGTGCCACGGTTAAAATCAAAAAAAATTACCTGGACCGAATTGAAAGATAGAAGTTTCCTCGAAAAGTATTGGTGGTATAATTTAAAATCATATAATTACTATTGTACAATGCTAAATCTTCTAGCATGATAATGATCCAAAACATATGTTGGATGACTAAATCGAGCTTGTTTTTGGCCTTTGCATAGCGATAATTTCTAAATTCCATTAAGGATATTTGAGCCATGCTAAAGCAAAATATTAAAGGATAGTCAAAACAATAGTAACAAAAAGTAGGCCATGATACTAACAATTTTTAAAAAAATAATAAAGAAACAATATAATATTATTCTTAAATATACAGTATAACCTTTGAAAGTGTGTTTAGACTCGTAAAGCTGCTGGTAGAGGACATATCAAAATTTTAGAATTTTATGTATGTTCCCTGCCTAAACATGGTTTAAAGAAACAAAATTTGGTAAAGGTTAATGTGTAAAAAAAATTTTATAATAAAAAAAGCTCTCCGCCATTACTTTCGTGAAGCTTTTATAATCGTTCCAGCGGTTAGTTGTAACTAGCCATTCCAGTAGATTTTTTTTATTAGTGGACGAAAGGTCTGGCAATGTTTAGCGGCAAGAATATATATAAATATAGATCCATATTATTCATACACGCGTGGTATTTTAAATTTTTTTCATTTTTGGTTTCGAACGTGAACCGCAATTCACGATCTCATGTGTTACCACATTTAAGAAATAAAATTATAATATTAAAATTATTTTTAATATTTAACTTTTAAATTTAATTATATTATAAATATATTTTTTGTATTTATTATATATACTAGACCCAGGTCTATTTTATTCTACACCATACTTGTCCAGAAAATATTTTATAAAAAGAAAAAGCTAATAAATATAGTATATCGGCCTTCAAGATAAATATCTATCAATAGAGCATTTATATAGTAGTTGTATTGCATTTATAACTTATTTACTTACCCTATAAAAAAAATTAAAAATCAGGTTTAAAAATGAGCATTTTTCGTAATGAAAATTTATATAAAACCCTTTTCCCGGATATCCAAATTTTCTGAATAGTTTTGATTTCCTGATTATAATTTTTTTTCTGTATTAATTTATAATCAAAAAATCAGAAATATTTAGGAAATGTAGAAATATTCAGGAAACCATAAGAGTTTTATATAGATTTTAATTATGAAAAATGCTCATTTTAAAAATAATTATCTTTATCTAAACAAAATCTAAATATATGGGTTTGGTCAACCAAATTCGTACAAATGCATTATCAAATTCGTATACATGCACTATCAAATTCGTATATATGCACAATCAATTTTGTATTTATTTTGATCAAATTCGTGTCTTGATCAATTTCGTGTCTCAATCAATTTCGTTTCTCAATCAAATTCGTGTTTATCTCAATCAAATTCGTGTCTCGATCAAATTCGAATACGTCTCGATCAAATTCGTGCTCGATCAAATTCGTATACGTCTCGATCAAATTCGTGCTCGATCAAATTCGTATACGTCTCGATCAAATTCGTATACATCTTGATCAAATTAGTATATATCTCGATCAAATTCGTGTCTCGATCAAATTCGTATACGTCTTGATCAAATTCGTGTCTATAAGGTTAAATCTAGACGAAGTGTACTAAATCATTTATCATAATAAGACACATTTCCAAAATAAGTAGCTGCGCGACACTGTCGCGCTAAACCAGGAACGGATGATAACTTCAATACAGAATAGTTATATAAGCT